ATAAAATTAAAATTAATTTTTATTTTTAAAATAAATTAATAATAAGAAAATATAATCACACACAATAAAAATAAATATTAAAAAAATTTATATTTTACAATTCAAATTATGCTAAAATCATAAAATAAAAATTTTTAAATGAAAATAAAGTTTTTAATAATAAAAAGTTTTATCACTGTTTAATAGTTAAAATTACATAATAAAAAATAATATAGACTACATAAACACTTTTTTTCGATATTAAAAAGTCCTTAAACTTTTTATACTGGTTTGATCGGAATTTAGCAGTTGGAGTGGAATGATTGCCACATTCAAACAAACGCCAACCCCGTTTCCCACCCGTTAATATATATTTTTTTATCTTTTAAATTTATTTTATTATTAATTTAGAGTACAAAAAATAATCTTATTTATATACATATATTATATCACTTAAATTAAATTTTTACTATTCTAACCCATAAATCAAAATAGAGCATCCAATCATACAATAAAAATTCACATTCGCTTAATTTATTTTTTTTTATTTTTAATATTTTATGATGAGACGACTCGAACCATTACCTTTTAAAAAAAAACATGAACCTTAAGAGAGTAATCAAAATCACTTATCCTGTGGCCAGGTTCACTTAATTTATCTTTTACCCACGAGAAAAACTTTATTTGTATTATCTCCACCAATCCGTGAGCATTTGCTCCCACCCCTTTAAAGATCACTCTATTTCTCAAGCTCCACAAATGCTAAGTGATCGAGATGACGAAAAGGGCCAAACAACTTTTGTCCTTTCATGCTGCCAGCCTTGGGTGAGTTGCCAAAAAGCTTCCTTCACACTACCACATACTGCACAATGAATGGCCCACCAAGCTAAAATCTTCATCAACACATTGTAATGGGAGGGACACTTTGCAAACACGTGGTCTGCAGCTTCTATATCCTTCCCGCAAAAAGAGCACCCGTCAATTAATGAAAATATTTAAATATTGAATTTACTAATGTCATGGGACAGCTGTCACAGTTCTTTTGTCCACTGTGCATATTTTATATTTTTTTTTGGTGAAAGTGAAAATTTTGTATTTGCATCACGTGGTTGTTTAATCCTTTTCTGAAAATAATGAACTTGAATTATTGGCCTCCCAAACCATATACAGAACGAAGTCCTCCACATGATGTACGGGGTGGTTTCCCTCTGTGCGTAGGTGAGAACACCGCTGGACGGTTTGAAATTCGACCCAGCTCCCCTTTCCCCTCACCCTTTAC